CAGTTGCTTATGATCTTAATGAGCTTACATATTTCATAGTTTAATGCGAACTAAACATTTTTTTCTTTACTGAAAAATAGGTGGGTTAAAAATGACCCATCGGTCCTGAAAGAGTTAAACACCGATCGTGAGTATTTTTGAATAGCAGGATATTTTTTTATTGGACAGTTTTTCAACATTTTCTTAAAATCTGATATCACGTTGTCCGGAAAGTTCGTAGAACTGTTCTTTAAACAACATCCAAGAGACATTTCGCTCATACCATCGTGTAGAGCGCAAAATTTTACTAAGATTCATTCTCATTTGCACAGATTGTGTCAATTATTTTGCAAGAAAAAAAAACACGTATTCAACACCATATTTAGGTGTGTTTCAGATAAGTCAAAATCGATTATTCAGGGAGTGTTTCTCTGAAAACGAGTGACGACTATCGAAATCACCTATGTGCGATGTATATGCACAAGAATGGAGAAGGTCCTTTATGAGTATATGTTATTTACTCAGCGATTTTGACACTATTCAACCGGTTTCAGATAAAAATCTTTCCCAATACTCAATTTTGACTTATCTGAAACACATCTAAATATGGTGTTGAATACGTGTTTTTTTTCTTGCAAAATAATTGACACAATCTGTGCAAATGAGAATGAATCTTAGTAAAATTTTGCGCTCTACACGATGGTATGAGCGAAATGTCTCTTGGATGTTGTTTAAAGAACAGTTCTACGAACTTTCCGGACAACGTGATACCATAAGACGACATGGAACACTAGGTCGGTGTCACTGCCAATAATCAAATAAAAATTTTGCAAGTAAATCGATTTGTCCCGTAGAATCAAATAGAAACGAAACTGGACAACTCAACGAGATTTATATTCAGTCAATGTCATTAGTAATACTACCAGTAATGGCTTGTGAAGACGTCACAGATATTAGCGATAGACTAAAGTTTTCTTCTAATATTAGTCGAATTAGAACCGTCTTCATACACTCGAATATATTTTAGAATAGTAACAGTTGGAAAATGTTGCATATGCGGAACTCCTTAAAAACCTATGCAAGATACGCCGTTTTAGAGGTACATTTCCAAATAAAACTTACATAGCTTCCCCTAGCATATACCTGCTTCACGACGATTCATGCAGAGTCTGCTGTGCTAACTAGAATCCGATGAGCTCTATCGATTCACGCATGTCTCATCAGTTCCCATCCGGAATCTCGAGATCTTGTATCTAAGTACCCGAAAAGATCTGCTTCCGTATATTCATTCTATCGGATATGTCCACTCTCGTATCGTGAACCACTTGTCAGAGATTACGTGCAATATAGCATGAAGTACAATCGTCATCCTGCATCCTGACCTTTACATACTTTATCCGTGCACCCTGAACCAACTATACTCTAACCCTTACCCATCGTCACCTTAAATTCTTACCTACTCACACCAATCCTCAGTCTCATCCATTCCGACCCTAATCTCCAAGAGAGTGTGGGCCTAGGATGTGGGGTGTGCGGGTGGACGGATGTGAATGTGGATGTCGAGTGTCGGGTGAGTGATCTGAGCATCTAGCAAGTGAGAAAAAACTCACCCACACCCACACCCAACTCGTACCCACACCATCCACACACACTCGCAGTCACAGTCGTGCCCTCAGTGTTTTGAGTTGAACATTTTTTATCGTGCGTAGGACTCATAAAGATATGTCCACAAAAAATTTCAGCTCAATTAGTTGAACCGTTCTTGAGATATGGTCTCGAAGACTCAGGTTGGTCGAAATGTAAGTTTTTAGGACTTTTCATAAAACATTCTCAAAAAACCAAGGGTTCAACATTTTTCAACACGGCTTGCATCAAAATATATAAAACTCTTCCCTTCACGGCAATATCTTAAGTTGAGCAAGATTTGACAACCCCGATTGAGCAGATACGATCTTGAGTTACGTGAAACGACTAATACGCGAAATTCAATTATAAGGCTTAAAATTGAAAAAATGCGTCCCTGCTTAGGCAAGCTTATAAAAGTCTAATATTTTGGACATGCATCTAATTGGAGTAGGTCTACTCACTGGCGAAAGATATTGGTGTTCGCAGATGTTCGTAAGTGTTCATGGGTGTTCGTAGGTTCGAAAAAACAGTGTGTATTGGGCAATCACTTTAATGTTCAGTCATTTTGGGTGTCCGTAGATGTTCGTAGAATCAGCTCACCGTGCTTCATCCACTAATGGTATTAGTTCCCGCTTTGGGATGTTTGTGGGTGTTCGTGTCTTTTACAAATACCCTGAAGAACCTATTGGAACAGCCAATTTTTGATGTTATTCAGCTGTCTCTGTGCTAGTAGAAGGCGGGGGTGCTTCTTCACTGGTCATCATCGTAGGTTTTCGATGCAGGAACCTATGGTGATGACCGGTTTTCGGTGTTATTCAGCTGTTTCTATGATAGTAGAAGCCAGTAGTACCTCTGTATCGGTCATCATTGTAGGTTTCCGATGCAGAAATCTACGGTGATGACTGGTGTAGAGGCACTACTGACTTCTGCTAAGCATAGAAACAGCTGAATAGCACCAAAAACCGGTCATCATCTATATTCCTGCATCGAAAACCTACGGCGATCGCTGGTGGAGAGCCACTACTGGCTTCTAAGAGTATAGAGAAATCTCAAGAACGCCAAAAACCGGTCATCACCATAGGCTCTCGATGCAGAAACCTACGGTGATGACCGGTTTTTGGTATTATTCAGCTGTTTCTATGCTATAGTCCGATCAATTAAACGTCCAAGTTGAAATTTGATTTGTTTTGGGTCTAATTTTAGTTCATGATGATGTATTTTCTTGATCTTTATATACTATAAACTGATATGGATTGCTCATATATTTACCATTATAATACTCTAGTGATCCTCTATCTATACTGTATATGTTAGATTTTTATCCTTTTGTATGTGTGCATATATGATATCGAGTGTAATGATTTTCATATACTATTACAAACTTGATTTTCATTTATACATTAAACCTTGTTTAACATATTTGTTATATGGTACGCATACATGACACTATGTACTAATATATTCCGGGATAACTTTTTATATTGTGCTTTCTCTCTTGTATAGCGACACATAAACTTCATTTGTTAGCATAGCAGGTGAACTTTATATGTCGTTATACAAGAAAGAAAGCATAATATAAAAAGTTATCCCGGAATATAGTAGTGCATAGTATCATGTATGCGTACCGTATAGCAAATATGTTAAACAAGGTTTAGTTGTACAGGGTGTGGGTGTGAGTATGGTTGTGGGATGTGGGTGTGGGTGAGTGGGTGGGTCTTCTATCCTCTCACATCCACACCCACACCGACACGCCCACACATCCACACCCACACCTTCCCCCCACCCACACACAGTGCGCAGCCAGGCGACAAAATCAATTTTCGAGATTCAAAGCCATATCGTAGATAGCGTTGAAGCTACTATGGTCCTGCATTTAAGTGCATGTTGGATGCCGCTCTATAGCGAGTATGCATTAAATAACAGGTACCACAAAAATGCGTAAAATAGGCGAATATCATTAATTGGACCATATAAGTAAAATCTATATTTTTAATTGATTATCTAGTTATATTCTTTAGCTATTATATAGTTATACAGTGTTATGTATTTACTATATATTACAGGCCATTAGGACTTCTTGAAGTTCTTTAGGCTATAATAAGATCAAAAATTTACCATCAGTATAGTGAAAAATAGTCACTGGCCCATAATGCAGTTCGTTTACGGGATTTTGCGGATGTTTAAATTCAAGTTTTAATTTATCGTTTGATAGAACGTGTCATGATCTATGTTCAGTAGATGCGCAAAGATCCGCCATTGAACCCTTGTCGAGATATGTGGCATTTTGTAGCACAACACCGTGGTTCCTCTCAGGTTCACCTGAAAAATCAACTTTCGAATTTCAATTTGAAACTTTGCACAGAGAAAGATCTCAATGAGACTAGTTTATTCTGAAAGTTTCAAATCTCTTGGTTGCTCCTATCCTTAAATATGAACATTTAACATCTTGTGTTATAAGTGATGTGAAAAAGACTAGTTTTTACTATACCCGTATATTGAGTTAGAAGCAACCCAAAAATCCGAAACTTTCCAAATAAACTAGACCTATTGAGATCTTTCTCTGCGTAAAGTTTCAAGTCAAAATTCAAAAATTGGTTTTTCATGTGAACTTGAGGGGGACCACAACTTTTTGATAAAAAATGCCGTAAAAACTAAATATCTCAACAGAAATAAGCTACGAGCGCGAATTATTTTCAGAATATTCATATCTCATTAGAGCCTACATAATGCATATAGTTTTGACTCAAAAGCAATTTGGCATCTGGGAATTGCTCCTGGTCTCCTTTTTCTGCCCACTGAGCCCTACCCCCACCCACATCCCACCCACACCCTCAAATGCAACATCTTACTCTCTTCTGTGGCCCTCTCTTATGTTTGAATGTTTATCAGATAGTGTTTTTCTCTATTCCGCTGAAATGTGTTGATCCATTATGTAAAAAACGTACAAAAGAAACTTGACTTTGTTTAATTGAACGCAGATGCCATTCTCTGTTTAATTGTAGCTATCAATTAGTTTTCTTCTCGTCTTTTTGTCTCTACTGGTGATAAGAAAAAAGTCAATATGACTACCGGTGATACTCACATTATCCAGCTTCGAAAAATTTCTCTGCAACACGATGATGAGAAGCGGGAATTACAACAGCTCAACAAAAGTTTTGGCATGTATATCAAATGGGTTGAAGATCTCGAAGACAGAAATCGTCAATTGCATTTGCAAGTTGATGCTCGGAAACAGAATTGGGGTAAATTTCTTGAAAAAAGTCTTTTTGCATTGAAGAAAACCGATGAATACTTATTCTATTTCATGATTAGGTTTTGATTCTACTAAAGTAAGAGAGAAATATAGCAAAGATTTGATTGAGCTTCGAAAGCAACTCGACACGATAACATGTGACATGCAATTAACTCAAATACAAGCCATACGAGCCGATCAAGATAAAATATCGGTTGGATCTCAAATTGCTTTTATATACACACTTATTGCTGCTGATCACCATCGTGCTTTGCTTTCCGAACAAGAACTTGAACGAAGCAAAGCTGAGCTTAATGCAGTGCGCAGTGAAATTGAAAATAAGAGGAAGGAAATTGAACGAAGCAAAGATGAAATGAAGCGACAATTAGATTATTTGTATAGTTTGAACAAGGAATTTAATAGTACAATGATGGCTCGTGTCATGCTTGAAGTTGAGCTGCAAGCATTTCGAGAAGAATTGGTCTTTACGAGAGCTATTTATGAAGAAGAGTGCAATGACTTGGCTTTGCTCGGCACGTATCAACTTGATGTTGGTCAATTCTACCGAAATGAATTTACACGAGCAGTTGCCAATATCAAGAAAGATTTAGAGATACTTGCACATGCACAATATCACGAATGGAAAGGTAAAAAGAAGGAGCATTCTAATTAGTGGGAATGTGAATAACTAACGCTTAAGCTCTAACCATCTTTGTCAATGCCGTTAATAAACAGACGGCTCCACTTTCTAGTTCCAGCTATATCTATAGATAATAAGATTGAATATTTCAGTTAGGCTAAAAATTAAGCATCAAATAGTCGAAAACTGATATATAGTCAGATGTCGATGTTCGATAAGCTTGAATGAGATGAGTCTATACGTAATAATGACATCTAAATACCATGAATTGAGCCTTTATATCTGTGTAAATCAGTTTACAAAGATTTCCCAATGAATTCTGTACATAATTGTATGTTTTGATTCATTCTTGTGAAAAGCACCTGTGATTTTTGATATCTTAGAGCTCAGCTTTGACAGTGATTTGTGAAAATGTATATTATACTTATCAACAATTTGTTCACTTATTGTTCGACGCTTCTAATTACGATGTATCCGTATAACTACACTAAAACTCTGAAGCATACACCAGACTAAAAAAATGTGTCAACATTTCAACACGGTGAAAAAATGTTTCTACAAAACCTTAGAAATAGAAACAGATTTGGTCTAAATAAAACCAAAATTTGTGAAAATCACTAGGAAAATGAGCAGAACGCAAAAACACATTTCATCTCGATTAGGAACAGTAAACTATTTTTGGTAAATGGAAGATCTGAAGTTCAATTCTGACACTCCATTTCAATAATCTTGGATGTCAAAACATTCAATACTCCTCATCCAATAATAAAAGCGAATTGAGATGACTGCGCAATATACCTCAACACATGCGTCGAGAGTTTTCTTTCATTTAAAAAGTTGAACCCATTATATTTTTGTTTCAGACTACTACAGGATCAAAACTGAACAGGTTCAGAGAGAGATAGCTGAGCAAAAACGTAAAAAGGCAGAAGCAGGCCATTCACCTGATGTGAGAATAATGGAAGTGAAATCGATCAACAAAGAATTAGAAGGATTCCGAAGTTCTTATGCCGCGTTGAAATCAGAAAACGCGAAGTTGGCCAATCAAATGCGAGATCTCGAAGAGGAATACGAAAGGATGCAATTCCATCGAAGTCAATCACAAATGTCATTAGAAGAAGAATTCGCCATGTTACTAGCTGAATTCAATGCGCACCAGGCAGCAATTTCAAGTGTACACAAAAACAATGTTTCCCTTCAGTTCGAAATAAATACATACCGACAATTGTTAAAAGGTAATAACTAGTAACTAGAGTCTTGTGGGACAGTCCTGAATCCCGAAAACAACCTGTTTGTTTCATCTCGTGGGACATTCTGGATTGTCCCGAAAATTGTTGGTCCAGGATACTCGGGATCAGGATATTGTGAAAATAAAACGGTACGGGACAAACGAGATTAGACACTCGAAAAAAGTTGGGTGGGTGTGGAATGTGTTTGTGGGTGTGTGGGTGGATGTGTGTGGGGGTGGGTGTGGGATGTGCTTGTGGGTGTGTGGGTGGATGTGTGTGGGGGTGGGTGTGTGGGTGTGTGGGTGGATGTGTGTGGGGTGGGTGTGTGTGGGTATGTGAGTGGATGTGTGTGGGGGTGGGTGTGGCTGTGGGTGTGGGTGTGAGTATGGATGTGAGTGTGGATTTGGGTGTCGGTGTGGGTGTAAATAATCTCTTCAAACAACGAAACCCACACTCACACCGACACTCAAATCCACACCCACATCCACGTCCCACACACATCCACACCCACACCCACACTGATGCTCACACCAACACCCACACCGACACTTACGCCCACACTCATACCCACACCAACACTCACGCCAACACCCACACCCCACCCCACACTGACACCTACGCCCACATCCACACACGCCGACACCCACACCTACACTCACACCCACAGTCACATCCACACCCACATCCATATCGATACTCACACCAACGCCCACACCCTCACACCAACACCAGCACCAACGCTCACACCCGCACAGTCCAAGCAGACAAAAATTTGGAAAAACACGTTTAATCGCACAAAAGGGAACCGCGATTGTGAGCCACTAACGCTCATTAAAAAAGCGCAAGAAAACGCGTTTATTGGCCTTTCTTTAACTTTCTGGACGTGAAAACGGAGAAAACTCCAGTTTTTGAACGTTAAAATGCACTTTTATTCTAGAATTTCAGAACAATGCGTTTTGACGCTAAAAAACTGGAGTTTTCGCCGTTTTCACGTCCAGAAAGTTAAAGAAAAGCCAATAAACGCGTTTTCTTGCGTTTTTTAATGAGCGCTAATGACTCACAATCGCGGTTCCCTGTTGTGTGTTTAAACGCGTTTTTCCAAGTTTTTGTCTGCTTGGGCGACGCCCACATCCAAACCTTACATTGTGAGATTTTTGCATTACAAGTAAAGTCATTACTGATGAAACCCAGAGTTACTTCTTTTCAGTAACTATGCTATTTTTGGAAAGCGACGGTGATTCACTGACAAATAAGGCATATATCATCAAATGTGCGTTAGGATTTCAACTTACGAAAGACAATTATGATTCTCGAGACGATAGTTTTGCTCGTCTTATGGTATTGCATGTATTTGACTTGGATATACGTGACGTCGCCGAAATATTAAGTCGACAAGAGGAAATCGAGTGGCCGGACAAACGTATCAATAGATCATTGATCAGAAGACTTTTACGGAATACTGAGAAGGACAACGATAAAAACGAAGATAACACCTTCACAGCAACTTCTGCTAAACCGAAAGACGACGATTGGACTATGGAAGACGATATGGCTGCAGTTTATGCATTGGAAAATTTTGATTTAGCTTTGATCAATTTGAAGGGTTACTTTTATTATGACAAAGATTTATTGCAGGTTTTACAATATGATGTGGATGAGAGTAAAGCTTCAATAGCAGTCGACAGTTCGTCGGACTCTGAAGACGATCCTACATTTTCTAATGAAAGGATATGGAGAGAAGTTCAATGTACAGAAGGAGCACTTCAGGCCATCGAAGACCATCATGACAACTCTGCGCGTTGGAAAGTTACAGACGCTTTAGGAACTAAAATGGCTCGGCTATCTTTTGGCAGAAAAGGCTGGGGCAGAATTGCTGCTGTCGCAGACGATAACAACACTGAACGAGTGTTGCTACATGTTGGAAATCATAATAGTTATGACACTTACCGAAAGAAGGCGCATAAAGCTGTCATTGCAGCGTTTAATGGTTCAAGCCAGAGAAGAGCACGACCGGATCTTACTTTCTTTCAATATATGAGAGATACGGATAGCGTATTCGATGTAAGCACCCGCTTCCGACAAAACTAAACACAGACCGATCAGCTTTTTTACGATAAAAAAGAGATTATAAAATTTTGAATTAAAGAACAATAAAAAATTATTCTTCGCACGCAATCTCGAGAGGGTGCATGCGTCAACATATGGTGAGTATCGATGCAAGAAACTGTAACTAATTTGCGAAGCCAGGTTACATGCTCCATGTGCCTTTCCTGCATAAATGACACGTGAGGGTGTGGGTGTGGGTATGGGTGTGGGTGTGGGTGGGTGTGGGTGTGGGTGGGTGTGGGTGTGGATGGGGGTGTGGGTGTGGCTGAACGAAGGAAAACTTACCCACACTCACACCCACACCCCCACCCCCACCCCCACCCACACCCACCCACACCCCACACCCACACACCCACCCACCCACCCACACCCATACCCACACCCCACACCCTCAAATACCAATATTTTATTCAGTTTCTCCTCCGAAATGGCTATTCCTAAACTCCAAGAAAGGAGATATAGTACAAAGTTCTGATGAGACTGGTCATCTCTACTTCACTAGGGTGTGGGTGTAGGATGTGAGTATGAATATGGGTATGTCTGTAGGCGTTGGTTTTGGAAAAAATCGGTTGCCACACCGATACCTAACCCACACACCCACAATCACACCTACACACCCACACTCATTCATCTAATAGAAACGTATAGAAAAGAGATGTGCGAAAATTGAAGCCATAAACCCGATGACAAATGTTGAGGTCAGGCGCGGAGCAGAATTACACAAGTCTGTGTCGCAGCATCAAAACTTCGTGTTAAGTGGTGCGTTTGGTAGAGTGATACATCTTTGACTCGAACACGAAAAGTCGTCTGGGTTTCGAGTTACGTACTGGACACCGAATGCCGTGTATTTGCGTTTCTGTGACATTTTTAAAAATAGACACGGACAATTCTTGTAAAAGTCAACGAATAACAAGGGTAACATACCACGCATCAACCTGAAAGTGATCGAACTATGGTAACACCAAAGGCGTCTGGATTGAATGCATCGTCACAGCCGACAAAGTCACATGAATAGCACGAACTAGCAGCACTTCCAACTAATGGAATGCCTGAATGTTTTGGTTAAATAAATATATGATCATGAAAATCATTTAAAAATAGAAGCGTTTTAAAATTTACCAGCTATGAATAGAATAGCTAGCTTAACAAGTTGCATTGCTATTGAGAAATCTGCTGATAGTGTAGTAATAGTGTGAGAAGAAAACCTATATAGATCTTGCTGGATCTCATCTTGTTATATAGGTTATATTTGCTTGTCCTTATCAGTAGAATATTTGCGAATTTTACTGCTTGAAGATGAAGTTAGTATAACAAGCAGAGTTCTACTTTGACGCTCTTCACAACGATATTCTTGATCTTGTTGATATATGTTATCGTTCTTGACACATTAAAAGTTGTTGATACATTTTCGGTATCTCTTTCAAAGCTACATACAAACAATACTTCAAGTATGAAAGTGAGTCTCTTCTTCATCCACAGGGTGCTTAGTGTGGGTGAGGTGAGTGTGTGGTGTGGGTATGAGTATGTCTGTGGGTGTTTGTTTTGGAAAAAATCGATAGCCACACCTCACACACCACCCAGTCACACCGACACCGACACCCACAGCTAACTGTAGACCAACTCGCCAATTTCAATTATTTCAAGTAAAAGATGGAGGCCAAATCATCAAAATCAGTATTTTGTGAAACTTACTGAAGA